CGGATGGATTGGCAGCCTGGCGGAAAACAGAAACCAAAGATTTTGCCGAGACTTTTGCCACTTTGCAAATCCCAAACGCCAAATAATTCTCCTGGGGGGGCCGGGGGGGGCTGACCCTGCCTTTGTTTCCAAAATGGCTGCTTCCTCGAACCCAGAGCCACCTCTGTGGATGTGCCAGATGTTACATTCCTCTGCCCGGAGGGGGGAGAGCAAACCTTGAACCAACCTGGTTTAGTTTGTGGCANCCTCTTGAGGTTGAGTCCTACAGATCTACATATTCTTAAAAGGACAATGGAGAATGCCTTGAAGGTTGAAGGAATTATGGAATCCCACCAAGGAGAACCTGTGAACGTAGCTCAACCACTATGGGCCAAGTGAGATCTAGGGACAATGATGGATCCAGACCTAGAAGATCAAGATGTCCTACAGAGAAGAATGAGATTGGAGAAGGATCTGAAGACGGAGCAAGAGACAATCATTGTGTTCATCAATGGTTAATGAGAAGGTTGAGGACAATTTGCTTCTCTCACCTTCCCTCGACTTACGACCACAATTCCTTTTCAAGGAAGCCGTCTTCCTTTACAGCAAGTCCTCAGCTTATGACCACAATTTATTTCCAAGGGAACTCTCTTCCTTTTCAGCGAGTCCTCGACTTACGACCACAACTGAGAGCAGAGTTTCAAGGCAAGGCAGTTGTTCAGCCTAGTCCTCGTCTTACGACCCCTTGCTTAGTGACCGTTCCAAGTTACAGCAGCACTGGAAAAAAGTGAGTTACAACCGGTCCTCGCACTTATGACTACAGCAGCCATCCTCACGGGTACAAGATCAAAATTCGGGCTCTTGGCAACTGACTCATCGTTACGACCATTGCAATGTCCCAGAGATACGTGGTCGCTATTTTGCAACCTTCCCAGCTGGATTCCGACAAGTGAAGTCAAGGAGAGTAGCCGGTCTCGCTTAACAGCCATATGATTCGCTTAACGACCGCAGTGATTCATTTATCTAGCAAAAAAGTCATAAAATCAGGTGCGAGTCACTTAACAACTTCCTTCCCTTCCAAGGGAAATTCTGGCCTCAATTGTGGTCGTAAGTCGAGGACTGGACTGTAAAGGAAGTGGGATTTCTGGGAAAACTCTGGGAAAAGATTTAAAGTTAGTCCCCGACTTACAGCGATTCATTTAGTGACCGTTCAAAGTTGCAACTGGCCTGAAAGAGGTGACTTACGACCGTTTTTCACATTTACAACCGGTTTTCACATTTACGACCATTGCGGCCTCCCTCATAGTCACGTGATCAAAATTCAGGTGCTTGGCAATTGACTCGTATTTATGACGATCGCGGGACCCGTCCCCTTTTGCGACCGTCTGATGAGCAAAGTCCATGGGGAAAAAACACCAAGATTCACTTAATGACCATGTTGGTCACTTAACAACGGTGGTGATTCCCTTAACCACTGCACCAAGAAAGGTCACCAAATGGGGCAAAACGTAACAACTGCCTTGCTTAGTGACATAGATTTGGGGCTCAGTGGTGGTCGTAAGTCGAGGACTGCTGGCACTAGCCGCCGCTAAGACGGCAAAAGGAAACAAAACATTTAAAATGAGTTGGCCAAAGGACAGCAAGGAAAAATTATTTTAATATACGGGTCGTCCTCATAGAATCATAGAAGGAGACAGTGGGAAGGGACCATGGAGGTCATCTAGTCCAACCCCCTGCTCAAGCAGGACACCCTTACGGAATCACGGAATAAGAGGGTCGGAAGGGAGCTTGGAGGTCATCTAGTCCAACCCCCTTCTCAAGCAGGAGACCCTTACAGAATGACAGAATAAGAGGGTAAGAAGAGAGCTTGGAGGTCATCTAGTCCAACCCTCTTCTCAAGCAGGAGGCCCTTACAGAATGACAGAATGACACAGTTGGAAGGGACCTTGGAGGTCATCTAGTCCAACCCCCTTTTCAAGCAGGAGATCCTTACAGAATCACGGAATAACAAGGTGGGAAGGGACCTTGGAGGTCATCTAGNGGGAGAGGAACTCGCTTCTCCACGAAGCTACATGGCTGGGCAGACGTTAGACTCTTCCTTCCTTCCTTCCTTCCTTCCTTCCTTCCTTCCTTCCTCCCTCCCTCCCTCCCTCCCTCCCTTCCAAAACATGGCAGGTGTTCCCATGGAAAACCTTGTTATACCTGTTTAGCGCCATCAGATTGGGGAAGGAAGCTACGGGAGTGCGTGTGGAGGGCGAGAAACTAATCCTCCCACCAACTCTGCCCACTTTTTAAAGCCATTTCCCAAGTCTTCCCAAACGGCCATTATCCATCAGGCAGAGTTGGTATTCAGCCGGTTCGGATCGGTTCGCACGAACCGGTAGTGGAAATCCCCCGTGGGCCTACCTACCCGCCTTGGCACTATGCCGTCCTATTTAGCCACGTTTCCGAGGCCGGGCACATACACAGAAGGCGTGTACCCCGCACGATGCAGGCGTGCACACCCAGGGCGAACCAGTAGTAAAAAATAAATGAAACCCACTTCTGATCGCGGGGATTTTTCAATCCCGAGTGGCGTTCATTCGACGGGGGGGGGGGGGGGTAATCCGCGAAATAGACATACGAGAATCCTTTTGCTAAATTGCACCCTCCTTTCAAGGAGGAGCAGATCTTCAGCCTGGTATTTTCCCTCCCCGTTGAAGTGTCTCAACAAACCCACAACAAATTGAAACGACTGATTTACTCGGATCAAAGATTTGCAAACTTCAAGGAAGTTTCGAAGCGGTTCTTTCCAGATTCAAGCGAGCGAAGTGAGGGCAGGACGGAAAACCCCACTCCTCCTTGTTAGCAGACCAAATCTAAAAAAATCGTCGAGTGTTCAGTGAAAATCGGGGTGCGCTTCCTCTCTGGGGCGTGTAATTCTTTGCATCTGCCTCTAATTTAGCTTCTTGGTTACTGGCTCGCTCGCCGCACGCAGCAGGCTCTTCCCTCTGCCACCCGCTCCCCCCCCTTTCCTTGCAAACCCAAAGCATTCCAACCTGTTGACATTTGACCCCAGAGCCGCCTGGGACAGCCCCTGGGACAGATCAGCTGCCAAATGAGATAATAGCGGCGGGGAAAGAANCCACCTCTGAGTGCACCTCATCACTAGCGGTTCGTGGGAACCAGTCCGAACTGGCTGAATTCCACCTCTGAGTGCACCCTATCACTAGCGGTTCATGGGAACCGGTCCGAGACGGCTGAGTACCACCTCTGAGTGCACCTCATCACTAGCGGTTCGTGGGAACCAGTCTGAAACAGCTGAATACCACCTCTGAGTGAACCCCATCACTAGCGGTTCGTAGGAACCGGTCCGAAACGGCTGAATTCCACCTCTGAGTGAACCCCATCACTAGCGGTTCGTGGGAACCGGTCCGAAACGGCTGAATACTACCTCTGAGTGAACGCCATCACTAGCGGTTCGTAGGAACCGGTCCGAAATGGCTGAATTCCACCTCTGAGTGAACCCCATCACTAGTGGTTCATGGGAACCGGTCCGAAAAGGCTGAATACCACCTCTGAGTGAACGCCATCACTAGCGGTTCGTGGGCACCGGTCCGAAACGGCTGAATACCACCTCTGAGTAAACCTCATCACTAGCGGTTCGTGGGAACCGGTCCAAAACGGCTGAATTCCACCTCTGAGTGCACCCCATCACTAGCGGTTCGTGGGAACCGGTCCGAAACGGCTGAATACCGCTTCTGAGTGAACCCCATCACTAGTGGTTCGTGGAAACCGGTCCGAAATGGCTGAATTCCACCTCTGAGTACACCTCATCACTAGAGGTTCGTGGGAACCAGTCCGAAATGGCTGAATTCCACCTCTGAGTGAACCCCATCACTAGTGGTTCGTGGGAACCGGTCCGAACTAGCTGAATTCCACCTCTGATTGTACCCCATCACTAGCGGTTCGTGGGAACCGGTCCGAAACGGCTGAATTCCACCTCTGAGTGCACCCCAACACTAGCGGTTCATGGGAACCGGTCCGAAACGGCTGAATACCACCTCTGAGTGAACCCCATCACTATCGGTTCGTGGGAACCGGTCTGAAACGGCTGAATTCCACCTCTGAGTGCACCCCATCACTAGCGGTTCGTGGGAACCGGTCCGAAACGGCTGAATTCCACCTCTGAGTGCACCTCATCACTAGCGGTTCGTGGGAACCGGTCCGAAACGGCTGAATTCCACCTCTGAGTGCACCCCATCACTATTGGTTCGAGGGAACCGGTCCGAAACGGCTGAATACCACCTCTGAATGTACCTCATCACTAACGGTTTGTGGGAACCGGTCCGAAACGGCTGAATACCACCTCTGAATGTACCTCATCACTAACNACAGAGCCATCTGGTATGGTTTCATGATAACTCAGCTAAATCCTAATGAGCTAATTCCGTAAATTTATGTGAGATATTTTATATTCTGAATTCTGAAATAGTGCCAGATCAGAGGGCCAATATTGTTGTCATTGGGCCAACTCTCTCCCTCTCTTCCTCCCTCTCCCTCTCTCTTCTATCTATCTATCTATCTATCTATCTATCTATCTATCTATCTATCTATCTATCTATCTATCTATCTATCTATCTATCTTGTATGGCATACAGTACTCAATACTATAAATATATAAATGAAGCACATAATACTATGGTACATGTGTGAAGGAAATATGTATATAAATATTTAAGTTCCTTCGATTTGCGACCACAATGGAACCCAATTTTTTTGTTGCTAAGTGAGATAGTTGTTCAGTGAATTTGTGCCCTCTTTTACAATCTTTCTTGCCACAGCTGTTACGTGAATCACTACAGTTGTTAAGTTAGCACTGTGGTTGTTAAGTGAACCTGACTTTGCTCGTTGGAAGGTCACAAAAGGTGATCATGTGACCCCAGGACTCTGCAACCGTTGTAAACATGAGTCAGTTGCCAAGCATCTGAATTTTGATCACATGACCATGGGGATGCTGCAATGGTCGTAAGTGTGAAAAATGATCAGGTCACTTTTTCAGTGCCGTTGTAACTTTGAACAAATGGTTGTAAGTCAGGGACTACTTGTAATCAATTCTGTAACATACAAGGAATTCAAAAGTTAGTTATAGGTTATGTTTTAAAATATGTCGGCTCATGAGGATGGAATAAGTATTCTATATATTAACACCTAGCCTAGTGCTGACCTAGGCCGAGACCCTTGCTCCCCTCCCTCTCCCCTTCTGCCCTGCTGGTTTCCCAGGCCCCCTTGCAGGACAGGTGTTCTCTGGCTTCTGCGCTTTCCTCTAAGAAGAGACACCTGATAAATCATCAGAAGTTAATGATCAAAAGGCTTATCTGAGCCTTTTCGTTTATAAATGTGTAAGACAAAAGAGAAATAATAAAGCCACTGGATAATTAGTAACCAGTCCAGTCCTGAAACGTTGGAAACCAAGCTGACCCTAGATCTCCACGCAGAGTCAGGGCGACTTGGGGGACGAGAAGAAGAGGTCATCTGAAGGGCAGGTAGCTTGGAAGCTGAACCCCAGAAGGGGAATTAGCCAAGGGAGAGGAGTAGGGAAGGTTTCCCTAGCTGCAACAGAGGAAGAGGAGGCAAAGGAAGAAGCCCACAAGCTTGTCTGCTTCGCCCCACAGGTAAGGATCCCATCTAGGGCATGCTTGTTCTTTACTAGGGAGGCACATTCCCTCAATCTCTAGGGCAGAAGAGCTTGCAATCTCTCCATTCCCTTCCTTCTGAAAGAGGGGCGTCTGCATTTGCATTCAACCCCCTCCCCATGGGAAAAGAGATGGCTGCTCCCAACAGATCTGGAGGGGCTCATGTGGGCTTCACATTTTCCAGGGGAGCCTTTCATTAAATGCCTAGTGCGAGACTCCTCACTTTTTATTCGGACAGATCTACGACCCACTCTTTATCAACGTCTTGAGCCCTTTAGAAAAGAATTTTAAAAACAGCATAAAACAGAGTCAGAAAACAGCCCCTGCATTAAGATCCAGGATAATGAAGGAAACATAAGGTGGGGAAGAGGCATTGTGTGTGTGTGGGACTTCCATCCTGTACAGAAACTGTCAGGAGTCATGACTGCGGGGGTGGGTGAGGGGGTGGGGACAAGCACAGTGCTAATGTCAGGCAGCAAAATGTGTTCCCCAAAATGTGTTGCCCAGGAATAGAGGGGTCTCATACAATGAATTAATTGTATAGAATTATTCCCCCTCCAAGAATTCACTTACTTGTTTTTAAGCTGGTTAGGTGCGGGGTAACCCCCTTTGTAAGTTGTGTTTGTGCAACTCGCTTCATCATGTGCCATGGGTTACAATTAATACAGGCGAAAGGTACTTCTGCCATCAACACAATTCTTTACAGCACCCGACCTTCACAAACAGCTTGCTCCCCACTTGGTTCTATGGGGTTCCTGCACACCGTTTCCTCTGAACAATATTTGAAATGCCCCCCCACAAAAAAAAGAATGTGGAAGGTTATTTTTTGCTTTGACTGAGAAAGGATTCCACCCCCCCCCCCTCAGATGTGCCTGAAATGTCCATTGTCCCTCTATCCTCTTTCAGGATTTCATGGAATGGTAGAAGTTGGATCTCACTGTTAGCTTGGGATAAACCTCTGAAGTTTAGGTTAGTTGGGATCCCTAACCTACTTTGGGGGTCATCTTTCTCTCACCAGGCCCGTGCACATTGGGCTGCACCTTCCATCATCCCCAGCCAATGCCTCCTTCAGAGGGATCCTATTGGGGAAAGAGCCAGGGACGAAGGGAGAGGGAAGGGTGAGAAGAAGACTAGAGTGCTCTTACTGTAATAATCTCTCCACCACGGCTTTCTGGTGAGCAGCTTCTTCTGGGCTCAGGTTTTCCAGTTCCTTCATGATCGGGGGAGTGAAGTCTTCCCCATCATCCGAGGTCTCCTCCTCTGACATTCTGGACTCCCCCATTCCATTGGGGAGATGCGGGATCATCTCGCTACAAGGCTCCCCCTTCTCCACTTGGAGGGCTCCCCCGAGCGGCTGGCTCTCCCTGTGGTGCAGTTCGGACTCCGCCAGAGCCTTGATCAGGGTCTCCTTGCTGAGCCCCGATTCCAGCAGGGCTCCCAGCAGCTCCACCTGAAGGTGGGTCAGTTTGGAGACCATGGTCCCGAGTGTCCGCCTCGCCTGGAGCCTGCGTGTTCAACGCCTTTTGCCACTGAACTGCTTTTTTGGGGCTACATCATGCTTCTGAAGTCAGCCATCCAGCCGTCAGCAGAGTAGAAATGGCCGTAGATGTTCTTTTGCCCCCCACCCCCAATTTCCCCGAGACCAAAAAAAGAGAGAAAAAGCTGCTTTAGGCCCCCCACCACTGTCCTGAGCCAGTCCTGATAAAGGGACCCTCGCCTCTCTGTTTACATTGGAGCAATGCAAATTCTCCAAGGTTCATATTTATCTGTGTGCTTAGGCAAGTAGCTGAACTTTGGACTTCGGCATTGCGACAGCAGTTCACAAAGTGCGTTGGGAGGGAGGGAGGGAGGGAGGGAGGGAGAGGGAAAATGTGGGAGAGGAAGAGAGAGGAGAAAGGCTTATGGCGAGAAGGGCCAGGGACGCACAAGAACCCCACACCAAGATCCCCTCGCATTTGTGGGAAAAGGAGTTTCCAATCAAGGCGAGAGGTTGAGGGATCTCATCTAAGAAGCTCCATGGAAGACTGAGATCTCACATGGGCCCTCCAGAGCTCCTCTCGTTCTCCTCTAGGTTAACGGAGGGTCATCTCCAGCATAGATGGCCCTGTTGCAGGACAGGGTTGAGATGCAGCACAACAGGGAGCATGTCCCATGCTCTGCTGCCTGCTTGGTGTGACTTTCTAGGTTGCCTTGTCATGGGACCTTCTCCCTTGAGCAAAAGGCTGCTTTGAAGACCTTGCTGGTCTGTTTCCTTCTTTGGCAACCAACTTCAGCCGGAACATCCCTGTTTCCTCTTGTAAGGAAGGGAAAGAAACAACTTTAACCTCAGTATAAGGGATGAGGGTGAAAGGAATGCAGCCGATGGATCATGCTTCATTCCACTTCTGTCGTGGGTGATAGAAAAATCACTTCTCTCCATTCCAATTCTATGAAGAATAGACATAGGGTTGAACTACTTTTTTCCTCACAAAATGTGGCAGATGGAATTGCATAATTGTGCTCTTACTATCCTCAAAAACAACCTAGCAATAAAACAACAACAAACACATTATATAGTCCTAAGGCACCTTGAAAGCTAGTAAGAAGATATGTTTGATTTGTTTTAGTTCAAAATATTGGTTTTTACTGATTAATCATTAACTTGTGAACTAATATTATTGGCTGGAATTTCTCAATAATTGTGTTTTTCTTTTGATCTAGTTTCTCTTACTAAGTATCTATACAATGGCTTTGTTACGGTTACTATTGTTAACCAATTAATTGTGCAACAATCAGTTGCAAGAGGCATTTGGCTTAATCTGTAGTGGCATTTGGCTTAACAATTGATAAGCCTCCCTCCACCCACAAAAAGAAAAAGAAAACAATGAAAGTTATTTTATTTACAGGGTAGTCTTTGATTTATGTCTATAACAGAGCCTGACCAGAATAACAGAGCTGGAGGTTTTCTAGTCCAACCCCCTGCTCAAGCAGGAGACTCTGCACCATTTCAGACAAGTGGCTATCCAGTCTCTTCTTGAGTGATGGAGCACCCACAACTTCTGAAGGCAGGTCATTCCACTGATTAATCATTCTCAGTGCCAGAAAATTTCTACTTTGTTCTAGGTTGCTTCTCTCCTTAGTTGCTTCTTGTCTTGTCTTCTGATGCTTTGGGAAAGAAGTTGACTCCCTCTTCTTTATGGCAGCCCCTCAAATATTGGAACACTGCTATCATGTCACCCCTAGTCCTAGTAACTCATAATGGCTATAAAGCAGGTCATTATATGATTGGACCCATTTTTACATTTTTTTGCATGAATCATAAAGGGAACCCCATGGTCATAAAACAAAGTCATTGTTCCCTATGGACCTTTTTGCTGAAAACCAGAAATAAACCCATGTTTACAGCAAAGTGCCATCATGTGACCATGGGACACCCCAAACTCTTGTAAATGTAGGCTAGTGGCCAAGCTCTAATATGCAGTCACACATCCACCCACACTAATCATAATACCCACCAGGAAGCTTATATGGGGCAATAAGTAAATTTGGGGGGAGTGGGCATGGCGAAGGCTGCCTTCTGATTGGTGCAGGGGAGTGGCCAACAGGCCTATAAGTGGCCATGAGCTCCAGAGTAGTGTCCCACTTGAGAACTAATTCTTGGGGTTCACTAGAGAGATGTTTTAAGAGAAAATTCAACATAAAGTTGGGGCAGGGATGTCCAACTTTGGCAACATTAAGATTTATGGACTTCAACTCCCAGAATTCCCCAGCCAGCAAAGCTAAGGTTGGACACCTCTGATTTAGGCAGTGACTTTTAGACATGGACATTTTTGAGTTTGAAACCACCTGATGGAAACAACCAACAAGAATTGAATTCCAGAGCCACCTGCTATTTCATTGCTGCAGAAAGCCACAAGTAACTAGATATTGTGTACCACACAGTCTGCAATGCTTGATCCCTTTCTTCATAAAGTGAAAACACGATAACCCTGAAATCTACCAATATAAGACTCAGAAAGGGAGGGATGGGACCAAAAAGGTGACACTGGGAGAAGAAGGCTGCCAGGGACAAGTTTTGGTCTCTCTGCCAATGATTTGAACTGTATCTGTGGCCTTTGTCAACCTTGGCTTGTGAACAGCTGAGCCCAAAATTTTTGATGCTAAGCAAGGCAGTTGTTAAGTGAGTTGTGCCTCATTTTATGACCTTTTTGCCAGTTGTTAAATAAATATCTGCAGTTATTAAGTGAATCATGCCTGCCTTAAGCGAAGGTTTTATTTGACTTGTTTATTCGACTTTATTCGACTTGTATGCCGCTCTATTCCCGAGGGACTCAGGGCAGCTAACAAAACCAAGGGGGGGGGGGGGGGGAAAAAAAAAAAAGGAAAACCACAAAAAAACAAACAACAGTACAAAACAGTCTAAAAGGTCTCAACACGCATACCCATTCGAGTAGGGGATGGGACTCAGCAGCCCCAGGCCTGCTGGAACAGCCAGGTCTTGACGGCTTTACGGAAAGCCTGAAGGGTGGTGAGGGTCCAAATCTCCACGGGGAGATCGTTCCAAAGGGCCAGAGCAGCCACAGAGAAGGCCCTCCTCCGAATCTGGCTTTCCCCTTGATTTTGCTTGCCAGAAGCCAGTTGGGGAGGTTCTAAATGGAAATCACAGGACCCCAGGATAATAAAACTGTCATAAGTGCATGCCAGTTGCAAAGCATCCAAATTTTGAGCATGTGACCATGGGGATGCAGCAATGGTTTGAAGTGCGAAAAAAATAGTCAGAAGTCATTTTTTCACTGCTGTTATAACTTTGAACAGTCACTAAATGAATGGTTATAAGTCAAGAACTTATAGCAGTGTTCCAATATTTGAGGGACTGCCACAAAGGTCAGCCTATGCTCCAAAGCACCGGAGGGCAGAACAACAAACAATGATGGAAACCAATCAATGAGAGAAGCAACCTGGAACTAAGGAGAAATTTCCGGACAGTGAGAACAATTAATCAGTGGAATGGCTTACCTCTAGAAGTTGTGGGGGCTCCATCAGTGGGGGGTCTTTTAAAAAGAGATTGGACAGCCATTTGTCCAGAATGGTGTAGGATCTCCTGCTTGAGCAGGGGCTTGGAATAGATGGCCTCCAAATCCCTTAAAATTCTGTTATTCTGACTACTTGAAATTATAACCATTCATCTTATACAATGACACACCTCCAACTTAGTGGGCATAGCCATGATTGGATGGAGGAGTTAAGCCATGACTATCTTGCAAAGGACACCTTAGCTGCATTTTGAGGTCCTGCAGGTTTGTGAAAGACAGACTAATTTAGAAAAATGGCAGCACCCCCCTTCCTCTCCTTTGTCTGAGATTTTCCCCAGCGTCAGCAAGACAAAGTTACCAATAAAGTTGAAACCTTGACACAGGTGTGGGAGAAGAATGAAGAGGTGCTCATTTTGGAGGCTCTGCAGCTACTGGCAAGCAGACAAAGCAGCTGAAAAAAAACCCAGGCCTTTGTCTCTCAAAGGGAATGGGTGGTGCAGAAGAGAAAAAAGTATAGAGGCAGAGTAAAGCACTGGGACTCTACATGCCGGCCATTAACAGAGAAGAAACGGAAAGTAGAAGAAATCCTGGTGAGAGAAGCATTAAGGCAGAAGGCAGAAGGCAGAATGAGGCAGAGTTTTTCCTGGGTGTCCAGTGTTAAGGTACCCTCAGGTGGATGGCTATTCAGCTTCCACTTGAACATGTCCAAGGAACACCCCTGGCTCTACTCCCAAATTGCTCTTATTTGTTGGAAAAGGTACAAGATAGAGAAGAAGACTTCCAAGATCCCTTCCAACTTTTATTCTTTTATTCTGTATCTGTTATCATGCTTAGTTGAAGTCTGCCTTTTGAATCATAGAATCATTGGCTGTGGAAGGAATGTCCGAAGAGGCCAAATTGTCACTAGGAAAGAGCTGAGCATTTGGGGGAGCCATGGAACATAGAATCATAGGCCTGGAAGAAACCTCAGAGGTTTCTAGTCCAACCCCGTTCCTGGTAGGTGACCTTATACCATCCTGGTCAAATGGTGGCCCAGTCTCTTCTTGAAAATCTCCAGTGTTGGAACACCTGCAACTTCTGGAGACAAGTCGTTCCACTAATGAATTGTTCTAACTGTCAAGAAATTTCTCATTAGTTCTAGTTTCTTCTCTCCTTGATTAGCTTCCATCCATTGCTTCTTGTCCTACCCTCAGGATCTTTGGGGAATAGGTTGCCCTCCTCTTTTTTGTGGCGGACTCTCAAATATTGGAATACTTCTATCATAACACCCCTAATAATATGATAACACATTGTATCAGTCCCCTCTTCTTTGTGATAGCCTTTCAAGTTCCAGAAAACAGCTATCATGTTCCCCTAGTCATCCTCTTTGTTAGAATAGACATGCCTGGTTCTGGCAACTATTCATCATAGGTTTTCTCTTCTAGTTCCCTAGTCATCATGGTTGCTTTTTTCTGCACTCTTTTTAGGGTCTCAGCAATTTTTCTGTATCATGGTGTCCGAAACTAGATGCAGTAATCCAATTGTGGCCTCACCAGTGCAGTGTAAAACAGTGCTAACACTTGACATGATCTTAAAACTGAAATCCCCCTGGTGATGCAACCTAGGACTGCCTTGGCTGTGGGATCCACAGTCAAATTTCTACCTTATGGTACCTGTATTGATTGTTGTTTCTTCTTCTTCTTCTTCTCTTTTTAGGTCTGTTGATTAGCTTGATGGGCAAAGGGGATATAAACAGAAATGCCTGTTCATTGGAAAGGAAATCTGAAGTGGGGGCAGGGGCTGTGCCCCAACAAAGCAACAAACCCTTTCTGCTGATTACCTCAAAGGAATGGAAGGATTCTTTGGCTCCTACAAATTCCACTTCAGAAGTACAACAGGGGCATATTTTCCTTCTGCTGAAGTTTTATACATATAAAACTTAAAGAAAACAATATTAAAGAGTTACCTCTGAATTTGAAATATTTCCAGAACATGATTAAGATATTTATATTTTTTTCTTTAAGGTCTATAAAATAACATGTTGCAGTATCATAATCAGACAAAGGACTTTAATTCAACTGTAAAATTATGTTTCGCAAGAGGGTTGACTATTAATATTTTAAGATAGTTTAAATATTGAAATTTCATTTACACTAGAGAGGTTGTTGTATTATACTGTTACCTTTATATCAAAAAGGAAAGTCACTTTTATATTTATTTGTTTTTTGTTACTTTTTAATCTGTTCTGTTATTCCTATTTTAATATTTATGAAATAAAGATATTTGTAAAAAAAAATAAAGAGGGAACTCATTTTAAATGCCACACGGGTGTGACATTTAGGTTAAAGACTGCAACCTAGCACACAAATCCTTTAACTCAGATGGGGCTAAAGGCTGGGCTGGCTGCTCTGTCATGCACCCTCCTGCTGATTCCAACAGGAGCAATTTATTACAAGGATTTTCCAGCTGCCGTGGAAAATCCAGAAGGAATCTGGTGGCACCTTTTCCAATGAACCACTTGAGGCAAGGAGATCTGGGATGCTAGGGGCACAGGGTGGATCTGGTGGAAAAGTAAACTTTCCCTTTTCTCTTAGACATTTCACTTTCAATCTTTGTTATAGTTTAGATTTGGAAATGTTATATGTTATCTGTATTGGACTGAACAAGTGATTTCTTGTTAATTGAATTTATTCTCTTTGAAGCTAACATGACCCTATTGGTTCTGTTGCTATGTATGTCATCCATTGGTCAAAATAACGAAGCATTTGCCTATTTATTTTAGATAGAAACTCCTGTTTTTTAAAAAAAGAGTATTGGGCTTAGCAGTGAGAAGACGGACTTTCAGGCATTTCCTGAATGACCATCTATACCGGAGTCTTTTTTGGATGATTCGTTTGAATCTAAGCTGTCCCGTAGAGACAGTGACGTGGGGGGAACTCCAGTGGTCCCAGAGATGTTCGCAAAATCTCTGGGAACCTAAGGAAAGCCCTCCTAATCCAGTGACTTCCAGATCGGCTTGATGCTGACTGCAACTGCAAAAGCCCAGAGAGAGAGCTGAATATGAACATGTCGTTTGCTGTGAGTTTTAAATCCTTTTTTCTTGTTGGAAAGAGAACACTCTAAATTTGGAAACTTAGTNCCCAGGCTAAGAGATGGAATAGCCAATTTTTGGGAGGGAAAAACACAAGCCACTCGGTATTGTCAGGGTTGAAAGCCAGTTTGTTAACTCTCATCCAGACCCTGACAGCCTCCAGGCACTGACACATCACGTCAACCGCTTCACTGAGTTGGCACGGGACGGACAGATACAACTGAGTATTGTCCGCATACTGGTGATATTTTATCCCGTACCCCCGAATGATCTCACCCAGCGGCTTCATGTAGATGTTGTAGATGTAGCAAAAGTCCATTAAAGTTTACCAGAGATAACAAGATGCCTATTTTATCTAGCTAATAATTTAGCTATTAATTAGATTTAATGTAATCTAATAAACCAACTTTATATTCTTTCTTTCTACTTTTAACAATCTTGATCTTTAATTCCGTCAAAAAGTCTGCCCCCCCCCCCAGTTTTCCTTAGTACTTTTCCACAAAATTATTCAGAGGTTTAACAAGTTTATTTTGTAAATCCGATATATTAAAATTATCCAGGACACTCTTTTGGTTTGTTATTTGTTTATTTCCTTTCATTAAGACATCAGTCAATTTCTTTTGTATATTCCATGTGGCATCTTTTCCCATATCGTTCTGATAGCCTTTCCTTTTTAAATCAGAGAGAAATAACCTCCCCCTCCCCAAGGATTAAATTACTGGCCAGAACCAGCAACATATCACCTTTGTGAATCCTTGCCTAGCAAGCAGGGACATGGATTAATGGCCAAGCTCCCAGTTCTAAGAACTCTTTCTATTTCCTCAAAACAAATAGACTTAAACACTTTTAAGCTATCATAGCTACATCATGTCCCAAGTCAATTTCATATGATTTTTATAGCTACAATCCAGGTCAAAATAGATTTGAGAAACTTTAGGTGATAGATATCTATAGTAACTTTATACACTAATATCTAGAATACTTCTTACAATGGCCATACAGTCCTTCAAGCCATGCCTATCAGGCTATCTGTAAACATAATAACAGCAGAAAAATAATTTGTTATTCTTGATTGCCAAAAGATGGATTCTAATAATTATTTATGCTTGGGCATGTTGGCTCCTTGCTTTTCTCCAGTGACTTTTGCTAGCATTTAATTTAATAAAGAGTGGATACTGGCAATGTTTTCAGTTCTGGGTTGTATTCTGCAGATATGAACAATGTCCTATTGTACAAATGACCAAAATTGTAAAAAAAAATAATCTAACTGTAGGACCTCATCATTTCATTATGTGGCAGGTGAAGTAATAGAGATAGTTCTCAGTTAATGACCAATGACTAAGTAATCATATGACTAATAGTTTTACAATTAGTTCTTGATCTTACAACCATGGTAGCTTCCTTGTGGTCATGCAATTGCCATTTGAACATTTCATAGTAGAGTCAATAGAGAAGTATGTGAAGTTGTGCTTAATGGCCATGGGTGATTGCTTAATGGCCACAACTTAACAGAACTGATGTAAGACATGACCACATAATTTTTCACAATGATTGCATTGTTTAGTGACAGTTGCTGATCCTAATTGTTGGTGATAAGTAAGGACTATCTGTAGTAGCTAAAAATCCAATTTAACTCTTAGATTAAAAAATTGGGTAAAATTAGAAAAACAGAAAATTAAACAACCACTATGTATTATTATGTTAAATCAAATTGAGTGTGTATAAGCTGATTTTATTTTTCTGCTTTGAGTTTCATATAAAGTGGCAATTGCATTATTTAGGAAATGAATTACTTTATATGTTGAAGATCTTTCTATTTTAAGCAAGTTCTTTAAATACTGTGTTTAATTGGTTGTTATTTTTGTTAAAATTATGTCATATAACTGATAAAAGAGGACTAAGGATCAGAACACTTAAAAGAGAAAAATTATACGAAAGGCTGAACCATTTTTCTATAAATAACAACACATGATGCTCTTACTTTTATCCTGTGCAGGCATTTTATTAATGCTTATGCTTCATAAGTTAATAATAAACCATACTTAATTGTATTTCTACTTAGGGGATCTCAAATAATAGAGCAAATTGATAATTGTTATATTTACACAAGGAAAAAGGAATTTGGGCAGAATCAGGATGAAATTATTTCTCTAAGTTTGATTTGGCAGAATCACTAAACCATTATTTGATGGCTGGGAAATAAAGACAAACTATTAGGTGATTAGGCAAAGATATAAAGTGAATAAGTATGCATGCAGTGATGTGAGGACAGAAAAGCCAAATTTGATTAGTTATGCTAATTATTTCACTCATAGCATCCTGTAAGTTGTATATGATACTATTTTGTGTTATAACAAAGCAGTATGAAATAGCTAATATGTTTAAATAAGCCTCCAAGAAAGCACTAAGAAACACATACTGCCTGCAGCAAGCCTTTTCTCTAGAGAGCCTATTAAAAATGTCTTTGCAATTACATCAATGAAAAATGTTACCCATTATTTTTAGAATGTCATAATCCTTAAGTCAGCAAAATTCTGCTTTCTTTGGAATGAATTTACTTCTTCAGTCTGATCTAGGCGCATACGGTGAATGTGCTTATACCTTTTTATTTTAAAGCAAGTTTCAACGATTTCAGAGAATGTTTATTTAACCAAATTATTTACAGGTGCAGTCTACATTTTCCTATATTTAAATTCCAGATTTTGTGGTAGGGCAGCGATTGAACATATGCTTTGGGTACAAAAATCCCTATTGGTATATAAAAATATCAGAAGCAATTGGAATGCAAAGATCTGATGGTAACAGGGAAAACTTTTTGGAAACTTTGGAGAGAAGCTTCTGATCAGTGCAACCAATTTCTAAGGCAGTATCCCCAATCTTCTTCCTCCAGCGGTATTGAATTCATCTTTGTTCTCTCTGATTGGAAATAAGTGATTTAAAATTTCTTTATGAAAGGAGCTTAAAGGGATCCTCTTAAAAATTTAGTTTCCTGGTTTTTAAAGGACCTTTAAGACAGTATTTCCAGATAATGCAACATTATCTGAAGACCCCTGAATGCTCCGGTTAAAACCGGTCCTACGAGCAACCTGGAAGTTCTGTTCCCTAACTTCCAGTTTGCCCATGGGGCTGGTTTTTCATGCTCCGGAGGCTTCAGGAAGCTCCTGAAGCCTCTGGAGAGTCTCCGGGAAGACAAGGGAGGCTGTTTTTGCCCTCCCCAGGCTCCTATAAAGCTTCTGGAGCCTGGGGAGGGTGAAAAAAGTACGCCAAAAATGGAGGGGAAAGCGCTGGTCATGCACGCTGGAATTGTGTGCAAAGCACACCCGTGCACAACCCACCTGCGCTCCCCCCGCTTTTGGCACGCGAGCCAAAAAAGGTTTGCCATCATGCACTATACAGTATAATTCAATATAGTCACTGCCTTGGGATAGAAGCTGTTTTTCAGCCTATTTGTCCTTGTTTTTATTATCCTGTATCATCTGCCAGATGGTAAAAGTTCAAAAAAAGGGTGCCCAGGATGAGATGGATCTTTAAGAATCTTTTGAATTTTCTTAAGGTAATGGGGACTATAAAGTTCTTCCAAAGGGAGGAGAGGGCAACCAGTGATCCTGTGGGCAATGACGTTAACCCTCTGGAGCGCTGTCATATCTGCAACTGTTCAATTGGCAAACCATATGCAGATGCAGTAAGTTAAAATACTCTCTATAGTGTAGCGGTAGAACTTCACCAGCAGCTTTCCATTCAGTTGTTGTTTCCTGACAAGTCTCAGGTAGTATAATCTCTACCAGGCCCTTTTGACCAGTGCTGCAATGTGAGTGCCCCAGGTCCTCTTTTATGATAACACCCCAAAACTTAGAACTGGCCACTTGCTCACTCGGTCTCCACTCAGTCTCACTTAAGCAATGACTGGATGTCTGATCTTTTCCTTCTATAGTCCACTATAAGCTCCTTGGTCTTATTGGTGTTAAGGACCAAGTTATTGTCACCACACCACGAAAGCAACTGGTCCACCTCATTTTTAAATCAAGATAGGTTGATAAAGTGAATAAGATTTGATGATTAAGATTGCATTCTAAATGCTAAATCTACTTTGATGTTTTGATTAGCTACATGCATTATGTTTGTAGAGGACTGAATATTTCTTCGGTTTGTCTTTCGACTTTTGGGTCCACATAACTGTTATTTTCATGTTTCTTCTCTAGGGATCTAACATCACAGACACTTGCACAGAAATGCTGATGTGTGGTGTTTTGTTGAAAATTTCAGCAGGAAATATACAAGAACGAGTGTTCTTTCTTTTTGACAATCTTTTGGTCTATTGCAAAAGAAAGCATAGGTGAGGCACATTAATTTATTGATGCTTTCAAGATTGAACATATATAAATAATCTGAATTTAAATGTTAAAAAATATATTTGAAGATTTTAACTATTATAATGCTCAGATAATGACAATTCTAGAAGTACAAGGTTCCATCTAATGCAAAACAATAAACTTTTAAGAATAAAAGTTTAAGGCTACAAAGCATGCTTTTTTGCATTGCAACCAAAATTTCTCATTAAAATGATATTGATTTTATAATTACTACTAAATTATAAATTTATCTGCAACAGCATTAAATAAAATGAGGTCTAGATATAACAAAAAAATTTGGTGTATAAATAATTGCTACTAATACTAATAAACAAACTTGGTGACCTGAAGTGCAGCTAATACTTTTAATATTTGTACAATACTTTTCCTTAATTAGACGACTGAAAAACAGCAAAGCTTCTTCAGAAAGTCATCGATACTTTTTCCGAGGAAGAATAAATACAGAGTTGATGGAAGTTGAGAATGTTGATGATGGCACAGGTATATGAATAAACATCACTTTCTTAACTTATTGTTATCTATTGGATATTGACTTTGTGTCTCATATAATAATACAAGTAATCCTTGCTTAAAGATGGTAATTGAGACTAGCAACTCTGTCATTAAGTGATGTGGTTGTAAAGTGTTATGTCACATGACTGCACTAATATACAACAAAGGTTGCATCAGTTCCAGTTGCCGTGGTTCAGCAAATGCTGCAGAGCTGTGAAGTGCAACATCACATTATCACTATTTGTGACCTCCTGCTGGCTTCTCCATTGACTTTGCTTATTGAAGGCATTAAAGGTAACCCAATGGCAATCACATGATACTGGGATGCTGAGCATGTTGTAAGTTCAAGCAGGTTGCCAAACACCTGATTCATGATCACAAAACTACAGAATTACAACAGTCCCAATTGCAAGTTGTAAATCTCCTTGTTCCATGCTGTTCAGTGCTATGATAACTTTGAATGGTTGCTGAATGAATGATTGTTAAACAAGGATTACCTGTATATAATTTCAATAACTTATGCAATTATTTGATGTAAATAAATTTGGCATAAATGGGAGACCAAAGGTTATACCAATAAGAAAATTGTGCTCCTATTTATAAACAATGGCCTCTGATTTTGATTACGGTATTTTTGGAGTATAAGACGCACCGGAGTTTACGATGCACCAAGATTTTGAAGAGGCAAATTTAAAAAAAAACTTTTTGCACTCTGCAGACCTCCCAAAAACAACCCGTTTTTCGCAAAAATGGGCCTGTTTATTATTTTTTTTAAAGGCATGAATAGCCTTTAGCATTTTTGCTCCTGAGCAAATAATGGCCCGTTTTTTGTGAAAACGGGCCCGTTTTTTGTCAAAAAAAGAGCATGTATAGCATTTAGCAGATTTATAGGATGCTCCTGGGGGCTGGTGGGGCCAAGATTGAGCAAAAAACGGCCTATTTTTCCACTCATTTCTGCCTTCCCCAGCCCCCAGGAACACACTGAAAACTCCTAAAAGCTATGCACAGCCATTTTGGTGAAGGGGGTGGGATTTCGGGAGGCAAAAAAATGCTGTACTCAGTGTATAAGACACACCCAGATTTTCAGCCTCTTTTTTGAGGGAAAAAGGTGTGTCTCTGAAAAATACAGTAGGTCCTAATTGTGTGAAACTGTAATGAAGCAGCATATTTCAAGGATCCATCTAGTCTGCCCGATCAAATTGGCTTGGCAGATACTATAAACAACCAGCATTTTGAATTGTAGAACCATGTAGAACACATTGCAGAAGGCAGGTTGTGAGGTGTCCAAGCATGAATGACTCTCTTTTTTTAAATAAAAACTGTCATTTCTATTACAATGTTACTTAGTACATGCTTTGTTTTTGTTTGTTTTATTTAACCTTTTGGTAAATGTATGGATTTTCCTAAGACTAGCATTGCTGTTTAGATAACAGAAAGACATTTGATTTGGTTTGGCTTGACAGGATTACATTCCTAATTTTTAGCTGGCACTAAAAAATTAAATGAATTGTAACTTCCTCCTGATTCTTAAACCATTTTAAAATGTCCATAAAACATAGGAGGAAGCACACGGATTCTAGCATTTATCTGGGGAAGCTTTACTTTTAAGTAAGAGCAGATTGTAATCCTTAGGGTGAGATCAGAAGCAATTTTGTACAACTCAGATCATTTAGTAGCCATCGGATGGAAAGTACATCTCAGATTTTCCTTTCTGTGATCTTTTTTCAGCGGATTATCACAGCAGTGGTCACATTGTTCTCAACGGTTGGAAGATACACAACACAGCAAAGAATAAATGGTTTGTGTGTATGGCCAAAACATCTGAAGAAAAGCATGAATGGCTTGAAGCTATCCTAAAAGAAAGGGAAAGAAGAAAAGGTGAGACCATGAATTTTATTTCTATACACTCTCACACCTGGAGAAAGTACTGTGTCAAGAGAAATTTCCTGACAGTGAAAACAATTAGTTAGTGGAATAGCTTGCCTTCAGAAGTTGTGAGTGCTCCATCACTGGAGGCTTTTAAGAAGAGACTGGACCGCCATTTGTCTAAAATGGTATAGGGTCTAATGCTTGAGCAGGGAGTTGGACTAGAAGACCTCAAAAGACCTTTCAGCTCTGTTATTCTGTTAATTCCTTTTCCTTGCATTTCTCATCTGAAGGATATAGAACAGCAATGGCTTGGAACCTCTGTTCCTATGCCTCCTGGCAATACCAACTACTTTTCCCAACAAGATCTCATAAGTGAATAAGATCCTGAAGTGTTATGATCCTGTTGGATATTCCTCTGATGAGAAGGATAGAAAAGAAGTGGAGTTAGACATCTAGGGACATGATGTATCTGTTTCTAGTAATGATGAAGCCAATGACTTCTCTCTGGTTGAATTAGATCCACCAAGCCACTAAGAAACCTCCCATGCCCTCACTGATAGCTTCTCGGAAACTTAGCCTAAGATGTTCAATAAAAATTCAACAGCAGAGCAGAAGTCCCTGGATTTTTTGGGAAAGAAAAATTATTTCCCTCTCCCAAATAATTAAAAAAAATATTCTATCCAGGTTATTGCTTATTGTTTACAAACCAATAATATCTATATTAGTCTTGGAATTACTAATTCTTTCTATTTATTACTTGCAAGCAAAAACCCAGCAACCCTCAGACACTTCAGCTTTGGGCAGTTAATGCTGATATAAGATGGCAAAGTTTTGTAGAAAGAATTCTTACTTGAAATACATTCTTTCTCTCTTTCCATTCCAACTCCCCTCTAACATATAGCTGTGGAGTTTTACAGATGAATCAAAGTTTGTGCAGATGAATCAAATTTTGTAGTAACATTGTTCAGCAAGAAGCAATAATTGGTGAGAGCAGCAGAATAATCCAGAGCATTGAAAGTTGGGGTGGGAGAATGTAATTTTGGTCCTACATGAAGATTTTCACATTGGTTTTATATGATAAGCAAAGTAGATCTTCAAGCACTGTAGAAAATTATAGCCAACAAAGAAGGAACTAAAATAAGAGCAAGAATCAGATTATTTATCACATTAGTTCTCAAAACGAAAGCTTCTGAAACATTTATATAGGGATTGTCTTTCGATGATCTATGAAAGAGGTTTTCAAACTTGGCAACTTTAAGACTTGTGGAACTATGCTGGCTGGAGAATTCTGGGAGTTGAAGTCCACAAGTCTAAAGTTGCCAAATTTGGGGATCTCTGATCTATGAGTCTAGTTCAGTCATACCATCTCCAAAACATCTGTGTAAACAGCTTTTTTATAAATCAGGATGCACTGATTTAATTATGTATGGAATAACAAATGATTCATAGACAAAAAAGTTTGCAGAATTCAAATGCCTTCACTAAAAGTAGTTGTAAACAACATTCCATTCACCCTGAATAAAAAGGAGCTTTTGTTTATTTTATAATTCTATTCACACTCGTGAATATAAAGCAATTGAAAAACTTTACCTAAGTATAAGTGAAAGGGAAATTTAGCTGACTACTTTATGAAGTAGTGAGATTATGATCTTAGAAGATTTTTTAAAAATTATTAGCTTTCTTTCTTCATAGGTTGTGAGCATTGTGTGTATTCTATCACAATGGAATATTACTAAATTATTTTCGCAATTCTATTAAAGTTTAATTGCATATTAACACTTAATCTGTTAGCTGCTTTGAATATATTGTGAATAAAAAGATGAAGTACATTTGAAAAAAATGCTACAAATAAAAACTTAAAATATTTTTAATGCTTAAAAATAATACATAAAATATTCTCTTCGCTGTTCTGCAATCACAATAGCCTCGAAATGAGCAGCCTGTAAAGCAGTTGTGGCTGTTGTAAAACATTGGGCCACCCCTCACATGACTGCATGACTGATCTCATGTACCTAATAGCTGCAATGCTGATATAATTTGCTAAACTAAAACCAAACAAACCTTATAGCTTACCATAATATGTGTCCTAAACCAGTGCAAATACAACCCTTGCTCTTTCTAGAAAACTGTAAATTGAATCCAACATTATTCAGGCAGGTTTAAACTTCCATATCAGCCTAGTGTGAGTAAGAGTTACCCATTATTTCACTACTAGGAGGTTTTGTGTGTTTGTGTGTGTGTGTGTGCGTGCGTGCATGCATGTGTGCGTGCATGCATGGTATACGGATGTATTACACCAGTATTTAGGCTTTGTCTTTATAATCCAGTTTGTTACTTTGACACTATTGGGTTCCTCGTTTCCCTGACAACTGTTAAACAATGGCTAGTCCATTCAGCTTTTGAAATGATTTTCAGATAAAAGTTCTCATGAATGGGGATATTTATATTTATTGTGTATTAGAAAAGGAGCTTTGCTAGACTTGTTTCTTGAGATCATCTTAACACTAAATATACTACAGTAGAAATTTTAACCTGAACCTTTCAGTATTCTGTTTGTGTGTGTGTGTGGGGGGGTGTATTTGTTTATAGAAAATCATGTCTGGAATGATTTGTTTGAACTTGTCCAGTTGCTCTTGGAAATGTTTACTATTCTAATTTTAAATGTCTTTAATGTACGGTAAATCACAAATTATTTTATATTTAAAGTTACTAGGATTGAAAACTAAAGGACAGTGCCCCACAATAGATAGATAGTAATATATTGTTTGGATATATTTCAAAATTATTATATTGTGATTTGTTTTTCAGGGTTAAAACTTGGTATGGAACAAGATACATGGGTGATGATTTCTGAACAAGGAGAAAAACTTTACAAAATGATGTGCAGACAAGGGAATTTGATCAAAGACCGAAAGAGGAAATTAACCACTTTTCCAAAATGTTTCCTTGGAAGGCATGTGTTTAATATTTGAGTTTAAAATTTTGTCTCATTATTTAGTTATTTATCAAATTATATAAATAAAATGGTCAGACTATTTAGAATTTCTGTTTTAGTCTCACTCTCACTCTAACTAGTGAGTTACTTAATCCAGTCTAGGTATTGAGTGTGCTACACAATATTCCTGAAAAGAAGCCAGATATTATACAATTATACAAATGTTTTTGGAATGAAGATAACCATAAATACAATGGTATCTGTCTGTCAACCTATCCCCCAAGCTTTAAAAATGCAATGTTGATACTATAAATGTTATTTTACATATGCAAAAAGTAATTGGTGAATTGCCTCTCTGTCTTACATGTGCATAGAGTTCTGTCCTATAGTTTAGAATATTAAATAGAATGTGTTATGTATTACAGTCATTATTTTAAATGGATTAACAAGATAGAGTAGCATAAATATCTCTCTTTTGGCCTTGTCAAATATAAAGACATTTTAGAAAACATACAATAGTATTAAAATAGATTAAAATAACCATGGCCTATAAACATTTCTCTCTCTGTGTGTGTGTATATGTATGTATATATGTACCGTATTTTTCGGAGTATAAGACGCTCCGAAGTATCAGACACACCTAGCTTTTGGGGAGGAAAATGAGAAAAATTTGCCTCCGGCTCCCAGCAATTTGCCTCCTTGCAGCAAACAGTGCAGACGATATACACTGTTTGTGGTGTTACATTTCAGACTGTACTTGTACTGGAAGTATACATTATTCTCTGCTATTTAATAGAAGATACAATAGCACTGAGCCTCTTTAGATCAAGCATTTATTTTAAGAACTTCTTCATTTTGTTAAGTTGTCTAGAACAATAATAGAGCAGTCTTTAAAAATAAGTGTAATAATGTGAACATTCTATAGGCCTTTATAGTTATTGACTTACCTCCTTGCAGCAAATAGCAAACAGCCCATTTCAATTTAGCTTGATTAGCACAAGAAAAAAAAATCTGCCTTTGCCTCCCAGCAATATGCCTCCTTGCAGCAAACAGCAAACAGCCTGTTTCAATTTCAGCTTCAGCTTGGGCCTCCCAATGACCAGCTGTTTCAGGCTGCAGGGATTGCCATAGCCTATTGCCGCCTCCGCAAGCCCCATTTTCCCCATTTTCTGCAAGGAGGTAAATTGCTGGGAGGCAAAGGCCAAAGAATGGGCGGCGGTGGGTGGGCGGCGCTACATTTGGTGTATAAGACACACCCAAATTTTTACTCTCTTTTAGTGGGGGAAAAGTGCATCATATAGCCGAAAAATAGGGTATATGTGTGTGTATATACCATACACAACCACAATGCATCTATTTTTTACCTTTTTTATGCAGATAGTCTCAGGTATTTTACTGAAGATGAGTGCTATTTTGTTTAATTACTAAAGATATTGAATAATAAAACTGATTGAATTATTGCTTCTAGGAACATCAGATTCTTCCTGCATCCCAGACATTTGCCTCACCAAACTTATCAATGCAAAACAAGCTTTAAGTTCTAGCAATAGTTTGTACCTATGGACATTGATGAAATCTGATCAGACTTCATCAAATTTCTGTAACCAAAAACTCTCACATAATTCTTAATACCTTTTTATTGAACTTTGCACCATTACCTTTTGAGACAGGGCACATAGGAAAATTATAATGTGACGTGTAAAACGACTTACCATAATTAAAAAACAAAGAAATCTCCCCCTCTGCACCTCAGAAAAAAAGGATGCAGATGGAATAGAATACTTGCCCCAGTGCCATTAGCTTTGATTTATTACTTCATCCATTACAGCTTTCAGTTCTTCCAATAATATTAAAGGCAGCTCTGGCCACCAACATTTTATTGACTCTTATTCCATCCTAGCTATTAAAGAAACAAAACATTGTGAATTCTAAAACCACAAATTTAGATTTTAATCTGATATCCTCTTCTTTCATAGCAATCAGAGCAGTTTATTCATGAATAGACATGGATTGGATTACACCATTAATGAACAAAATGTATTATGTTGCTTTTTAAGGAATTTTACTTCTTTACCACGTTTAACTTTGACATGTTAAAATTTTTTTTGTCTATCTGCTTTTTTCTTAATCAGTGAGTTTGTATCTTGGTTATTGGAAACTGGAGAGATTCACAGACCCGAAGAAGGTGTTCATCTCGGTCAGGCTTTGTTAGAGAATGGCATTATCCACCATGGTAAATAAGTTACCTTTTCTAACAATTATTTGCAAATATTTAACTTTTTTTACTTGTCAGTAGGTGTACAGATTACATAATTGTTTATGAGAATGACATTTATTGTAGCCAAAAGTGACAGAATAAGTCTTTATCGTGAGGAATAGTGGAATAGTGAGGTCCTTGATGCTCTGAGTTTAATTGTTTTCTGATGAACATTTCATTATCAAACTAGATAGCATCATCACTATCTTTGGAATAGTTTCGTGTTTGTTCTAACTTTTAGTTTTCAGTTTTAGCATAAAGAGTAACCTGTTTTATTGTATCTATTATATCCATGTTGAATCCAAATGATGTTTAAGAGCCTACATGGATCTTATATTTTCTTTTTGGTCTTTTATAGCTTGTCTCATACTTTGCTGTTTTTGTTTTTGTCTAGTTGTTATTTTATGCTGGTTATTGACCAAAATAAAGGAACTTACTTATTTACTTATTATTATGTAGACCCAGCTGTGTTTCCACAGGAACTGAAATCTTAAAATAAAGTTGAATAGCCCATCTGTCTTTGTTGAAGCAAAAAATCACTGTGCATGTGAGAGACAATTAGATTTACATTAGAACTGTATTATATTTTGGATTTGCTATTTCTACTTTAAGTATCATTAACAGCATAAGGATTTTATTGATATTATATGTATATGTATATGTATCTGTGTGTATATGTATGTATGTATGTATGTATATATATATATATATATGTATATATATATATATATATGTGTGTATATATATATATATATATATATATATATA